TGGCGAGAATGGGGGCATGCCTGCTACTGTCTTACCCCGTACCAGAAGCCCAGGCATTGAAATAAAATAGAACGCCTACTAGGCGGTCTATCCGAATACAACGCCTAGGCGTTCTAATAGTGTGAAAAACTAAAACTCTGAGGCCCTGGTGTCCATAACGTATATATCGCCGCGATACTCTACTTTCACATCGTTCGTATTGCGTCAAAAACGCAGTAGGAAAACGTCGAGAAATCCTGCAGTTGTCGAGTACTACAAGCAGCGAGCGGCGCCCGGCGGCCTCATCATCGCCGGGGCCACCAACATCACGCCCACGGGCCGCGGATCCTGGGGCTCCCCTGACATCTTCGCGCCCCAGCAGATCGAGGCTTGGCGCCACGTGACCAAGGCCGTGCACGGCAAGATGTTCCTGCAGTTGTCGGACTACCGCACGGCCGCGGAGAACGCCCTCAAAGCGGGCTTCGACGGCGTCGAGCTGCACGCCGCCAACGGCTACTTGCTGGAGCAGTTCCTGCACGACGGCATCAACGACCGCGCCGACCAGTACGGCGGCAGCGTCGAGAACCGCGCGCGCTTCCTGTTCGAGGCACTGGAGGCCATCCTCGAGAGTCTGGACTCGTCCAAGGTGGGCATCCGACTGTCCCCGTTCGGCGGCAGCTTCGGCGACAAGGACTCGGACCCCATCGCCACGTACACGTACGTGCTGAACAGGCTCAACAACTACGACCTGGCCTACGCGCACCTGATCGAGCCGCGTGGCTACCACGTGCGCAACCCGCTGGCACCCGAGAAGGGCTCGGCGCGGCAGTTCCGCGAGACGTACAAGGGCGTGCTCCTCGCCGCGTCGGGCTTCGACCGGGAGTCGGCCGTGCAGATCGTGGTGGAGGGCGCGGCCGACGCCGTGGCCATCGGCCGCCACTTCATCTCGAACCCGGACCTGGTGCGGCGCTTCCAACTCAACAAGCCCGTGAACGACTACGACACGGACACGTTCTACCTCGGCGACGCGCGCGGGTACATGGACTATAATACCCGTTCCTGCAGGACGAGTAGGTAGAGCAGTAAAGACGACGTAGACAGCAAAAGACGTGCTACATCCGTAAGACTGCAAGGTGAAGCGTACTGGAGGTGGCTGCGTACTCTCAAGTAAAACAAATTGTTGGTAGTTAAAACTAGTTGCTGCAGGCACCAGGCACGTACTGTTACTGCCTCCGTGTGGGCTTGGGCGTCTTGTTGGATCACTTGGCGCGTTTAGTGGGACGGCCTTCTTCACCCTCTTGGTTTTCACGTGCTCGTTTCTTGGATGTTTCTGTCTCGCCACCTTGATCGCCTAGTGGCCCTCACCACTGCCACCAACGTCACTCTCAGCGTCACTCTTCTTCCTTGTCACCCGGCGCGTACGCTAGTGCTTTACGGGCGTTCTGCAACAACTTGTCGCGCGTCGCGGTAAGCGACAACTTTGCATACGAACTAACGTTCTTGTTTCGTTTTTCATCTTCATCGCGATAGTCCAGGTCGCCCTCCACAAGCCCCAGCGGGTCATACTGAGACTCCACCATGTTTGATAGAATGGAAGCCACGTCCTCGCTCAGGAACGGGTAGGTGACCCTGTTGAGTAAACGGAGGCAGATCGTGAAAACAGGATCCTCCTCCGAGACACTCGACACACTTGAGACGCCAGGATTGCTCTCGATCTTC